GAGAATTTTAAGTCAACTTTTCCAAAGTGTGAAATTTTCAACATGAATTTTTGACGATTTTTCAAAAATCTCTAATTTTCAATATGAATTTTTCTATATTCGAGTTAGACAAGTTCTTTTCGGCTTCATTTCTCCGTAAATTCCAACAATTTTTCCAGAATCGATAAAATGAAAAAAAAGACAATTTTCGAGATAATAGAAAACATTTATTTATGAACCAAATTTTTCAAAAATTTTAAATTTTCAGTAGGAATTTTTGACGATTTTCCTAACACTTCGAAAATTACCTAAACGCATTTTCTAGTAAATTTCGACTTGTAGAAGTTATTTTCTGCTTCATTTCTTCGAAAATTCCAGCAATTTTTCCAGGATCGATAAAATAAAAAATGAAAGGTTTCAAGATATTGAAAAAATATCATATTCAAACCGAATTTTCTAAAAATCTTAGTCGGAGACCATAAACACGTTATTTTTTCGAATTGAGTCATCGAAATGTACTTATTTCCCAGAATTTTTTGACAGTTTTTCGAGCACGCTTCGAAAATTAACGAAAGAAATTTGTTTATAATCGAGTTGGAGAAATTCTTTTCGGCTTCTTTTCTCCGAAAATTCCAACAATTTTGCCCGAATCGATAAAATAAAAAAATGACAATTTTCGAGATAATACAAAGAATTCATTTATGAGCCAAATTTTTCGAAAACTTTGGACCTGAACCAGCAACCGTAACGTTTTTCGAATAAGCTCATGGAAATATATATTGCCAAGAATTTTGTGAGAATTTTAAGTCAACTTTTCCAAAGTCTGAAATTTTCAATATAAATTTTTGACGATTTTTCAAAAATCTCTAATTTTCAATATGAATTTTTTTATATTCGAGTTAGACAAGTTCTTTTCGGCTTCATTTCTCCGTAAATTCCAACAATTTTTCCAGAATCGATAAACTGAAAAAAAAGACAATTTTCGAGATAATAGAAAACATTTATTTATGAACCAAATTTTCCAAAAATTTTAAATTTTCAATAGGAATTTTTGTCGATTTTTCTAACACACTTCGAAAATTACCTAAATGCATTTTCTAGTAAATTTCGAAATGTAGAAGTTATTTTCTGCTTGATTTCTTCGAAAATTCCAGCAATCTTTCCAGGATCGATAAAATAAAAAATGAGAAGTTACAAGATATTGAAAAAATATCATGTTCAAATCGAATTTTCTAAAAATCTTAGTCCGAGACCATAAACACGTTATTTTTTGGAATTGAGTCATCGAAATGTACTTATTTCCCAGAATTTTTTGACATTTTTTCGAGCAACCTTCGAAAATTATCGAAAGAAATTTTTTTATAATCGAGTTGGAGAAATTCTTTTTGGCTTCATTTCTCCGAAAATTCCAATAATTTTGCCAGAATCGATTAAAAAAAATGGCAATTTTCGAAATAATAGAAAACATTCATTTATGAAACAAATTTTTCAAAAATTTTGGACCTGAACCAGAAACACGTAACGTTTTTCGATTAAGCTCATCAAAATGTATTGCCCAGAATTTTGTGAGAAATTTAAGGCAACTTTTCGAAAATCTTAAATTTTCAATAAGAATTTTTGACGATTTTTCGAACACACTTCGAAAATTACCTAAATGCATTTTCTAGTAGATTTCGACTTTTAGGAGTTATTTTCTGCTTGAATTCTTCGAAAATTCCAACAATTTTTCCAGGATCGATAAAATAAAAAATGAGAAGTTTCGAGATTTTGAAAAAACATTCTGTTCAAACCGAATTTTCTGAACATTGTAGTCCAAGACCATCAACACGTTATTTTTTTCGAATTGGCTCATCGAAATGTACTTATTTCCCAGAATTTTTTGACGATTCTTAGGCAACTTTTCGAAAATCACAATAAATTTTTTGACATTTTTTCGAGCACCTTTCGAAAATTATCGAAAGACATTTTTTTATAATCGAGTTGGAGAAATTCTTTTCGGCTTCATTTCTCCAAAAATTCCAACAATTTTTCCAGAATCAATAAAATAAAAAAAATAAATTTTCGAGATAATAGAAAAAATTCAGTTATGAACCAAATTTTTCGAAAATTTTGGACCTGAACCAGCAACATGTAACGTTTTTCGATTAAAGTCATCGAATCTATTACCCAGAATTTTGTGAAAATTTTAAGGCAACTTTTCAAAAATCTTAAATTTTTAATAAGAATTTTTGACGATTTTTCGAACACACTTGGAGAATTCCAGCAATTTTTCCAGGATCGAGTTTCGAGATTTTGAAAAAATATCATGTTCAAACCGAATTTTCTGAAAATCGTAGTCCAAGACCATGAACAGTTATTTTTTTTTCGAATTCGCTCATCGAAATGTACTGATTTCCCAGAATTTTTTGAGGATTTTTAGGCAACTTTTCGAATATCGCAATGAATTTTTTGACAGTTTTTTGAGCACCCTTCGAAAATCATGGAAAGAAATTTTTTTATAATCGAGTTGGAGAAATTCTTTTCAGCTTCATTTCTTTGAAAATTGCAACAATTTTGCCAGAATCGTTTAAAAAAATGGCAATTTTCGAGATAATAGAAAACATTCATTTATGAACCAAATTTTTCGAAAATTTTGGATCTGAACCAGCAATACGTAACGTTTTTCGAATAAGCTCATCAAAATCTAATAACCCAGAATTTTGTGAGAATTTATAGGCAACTTTTCAAAAATCTTTTTTCAATTTTCAATAGGAATTTTTGACGATTTTTCAAACACTTTTCTAAAATGACCTAAATGCATTTTCTAGTAGACTTCGACTTTTAGAAGTTATTTTCTGCTTCATTTCTTCGAAAATTCCAGCAATTTTTCCAGGATCGATAAAATAAAAAATGAAAACTTTCGAGATTTTGAAATAATACCATGTTCAAACCGAATTTTTGGAAAATCTTAGTCCGAGACCATCAACACGTTGTTTTTTCGAATTTTTTGAGGATTTTTAGGCAACTTTTCGAATATTTTTTGAGTTTTTCGAGTACCTTTCGAAAATTACCGAAAACATTTTCTTGTAGGTATCAACTCAGAAGTTATGTTCGGCACATTTTTTTTAATTCCAACAATTTTTTAAGTATCGAAAAATTTAAAAATGACAATTTTCGGGAAATTAAAAAAAATCATTTACAAACTATTTTTTTCAAAAATCTTGGTCCGGTACCATCTACACGTTCTCTTTTTAGAATCAAATTTTCGAAATGTACTCCTCAGAATTTTTTAAGAATTTTTTAAGTAACTTTTCAAAAATCTATTTTTCAATATGAATTTTTTACCGTTTTTCGAGCACCCTTCGAAAATTATCGAAAGAAACTTTTTTATAATATAATTAAAATTTCAACAATTTTGCCAGAATCGAAAAAATTCATTTGTGAACCAAATTTTTCAAAAATTTTAACACGTAACATTTTTCGAATAAGGGCATCGAAATGTATTATCTATAATTTTGTGAGAATTTTAAGGCAACTTTTCAAAAATCTTAAATTTTCAATATGAATTTTGACAATTTTTGAAACACTCTTGGAAAATTACCTAAATGCATTTTCTTTCAGACTTTGACTTGCAGAAGTTATTTTCTGCTTTATTTCTTCAAAAATTCCAACAACTTTTCCAGAATCGATCAACTAAAAATTGAGTTTCGAGATATTGAAAAAATATGTTCAAACCGAATTTTCTAAAAATCTTAGTCCGAGACCATAAACACGTTATTTTTTCGAATTGGCTCATCGAAATGTACTTTGGATTTCCCAGAATTTTTGAGGATTTTTGGGCAACTTTTCGAAAATCTCAATGAATTTTTTGACAGTTTTTCGAAAATTACCGAAAACATTTTCTTGTAGATCTCAACTCATAGAAGTTATTTTCGGCCTCATTTTTTTTTTTTAATTCCAACAATTTTTGAAGTATCGAAAAATTAAAAAATGACAATTTTCGGAATATTAAAGAAAATCATTTATAAACCAAATTTTTCAAAAATCTTGGTCCGATACCATCTACACGTTGTTTTTTTAATTAGTCAAAACGTATTTCTCAGAATTTTTTAAGGTTTGTTAGGCAACTCTTGAAAAATCTTGAATTCTCTGTATTAATTAGTAGAAGTTATTTTCGAGATCTTTTTTTTAAACTCGATTTTATTGATAAATGTCATTTTCAGTGACCGCCAGTTTTTGACGTTACACCCATTATAAAAGGTTGTTATCCAATTTCGATTTTTTTGCAAAAATTTAAATTCCTCAGGAAACACCTCAAGGCGGATGCATAACCCACAAATAGAGGACAATTGTTATTTTATAAAATCTAAATCCTGCTTACTATGACAAATTTTGAGAGGAAGTCACCAATTTGTTCGTAAGTACTCTACGGTCATGAGACATCGAGAAAACGTGAAAGTAGCCATTTACCCAATGAACTCTTTTACAATACTTCCTTAGCTTACAATCGGAAATTTTAAAAAATATATATCTTAATACCAATTCTTCATCGCCTCACTTTCTGTTTCTCGAGCATTCCTTGACCAAAACCTTCTCGAATCTAGGATGTCCAGAGCGTTCTCAACATTCCCCCATATTTACCGCTCTAGATGGCGTATACATTTATATAGCTTTTAATATGGTCAAAATTTGTCTTTCCTTTTATTTTTTCCTTGTCACAAAAAATGTTCGACTTGATTTACAAAAATTTTTGAGTTTAGACGAAAATTTACAACTGGGAAGTTCGTTCACGTTTGGTAAAAATATTACGACTCCAAGTACTAATCCCTGTGGAACTCCAGCATTATTTTTGAAATTCGTATTTAAAGTTGCCAAGTTATTCTAATTTTTTTGAAATTTTTCCACAGGTTGGAAAAAAATCGACACGGGTTTTTGACAAATCTTGTATGAATTTTTCCCGAATTTTGGATTTTCTGTTGGAAGAACTATTTTTTTGTAATAGTAGTGTAGATGTTAAAGTACTAACCATGTATTCGTTCCAGGTGCTTGAGTAGCATATACTCCGGCCACCACTCCATCCTCATCCCCCCATCCGAGGTGGAAATGAACCCCTCCCTCTGGCTCTCCGCCGTGAGCCAATACAAAGTCCGCGACACCTTCTGCTCGTACGGCGTGATGGAGCTCTGCACCAAAGGCCTCGGCTCCTCGGTCAACCAGCTCAAATCCCGCGGCGTGAACCTGGCCTGCGTCCGAACCTGCGTCGTCGTGGCCGAGGAGCGCCCTCGAATCAACCTCACCACCAGCTTCTCCAAGCTGTTCAGCGCCCTGGGACTCAGTCCCCGGGCCGTCTCCACCTCGTTCGGCTGCAGAGTGAACGTCGCCATATGCCTGCAGGGCGCCTCGAGTCCGGAACCTTCGACGGTTTACGTCGATCTCAGGGCCCTGCGTAACGACAGGGTCAGTCTGGTGGAGAGGGGCAGCCCCCATAGTCTTTGCTTAATGGAGAGTGGCAAGTTACTGCCGGGTGTTAAAGTGATTATAGCGAATCCGGAGAGTAAAGGGCAGTGCGGCGACTCGCATTTGGGGGAGATTTGGGTACAGAGTGGCCATTCGGCTAGTGGATATTTTACGATTTATGGGGACGAGAGCGAGTATGGAGACCATTTCAATGCCAGGTTAGTGCTTGGGGGAACGAAGTTTGTTGCTAAGCGGGCTTTCTAGGCCACGGGGTGGGGTTTAACACTTAAGATGTTTTGGTAGTTGAGTACGTAGTAAAATATTAAATATTAGTAAAGCAATTGATTTTTTTTTGTGTATGTAGACGTGATCAGAATTCAAACAAAATTCCACAAAGTCGTGTAAATTTTTAACGCGATTATTCAAGATTTATAGGTTAGAACATAAAGTGGCAAAATTATGTCAAATACGGGGACATGCGCAGTGACAACAACTACGTGCACTTAAGAATGATACAAAAATTAGAGTATAGATATAGGTAAAAGAAATGAAAAGAAAACTTTGAAATAGTTTTAAATTAAAAAAAAAGAAAGTGGCAACAATTAGCGGTTTTCATTACCTGTATAAGTTTCCGCAGACAAAGAGAATAACAAAAAACACTTCAGAGAAAGGATAAACATAGACATGAACATGAATAGACCCTGATTGACGTATATCTCTGACATATCAGGCCCATTCAGGAGGGTTTGCTAAATAAAGGGTTTAAACGTAGCTTGCTTTGTTTTCATAGCGTATCAAGAGAAATACCAAGGGAATTTCTCTGACACTTTATTTGTATGTAAAATTAAAAAAAAAAATGGATACAAGGTTAGGAACTAGGACGCAACGAGACTTACAACGAAATGGTAAACGAAAATAAGAGGAAAACAGAAAACGAGAATAAACATTAGAGCTACCATATAATCGAAAAAAAAAAATCTCTAGTGTGCTTTGGAATTTATTAAAAAAATATCTTGGCAGTATCATTATTTTTGGCTGACGGAAAGAGTTATCATTGACATTGATTTATATAACCTTAAAATATAAACGTGATACTTCTCATGCAAAAATGGCAATCCAATTAAAAAAAATTCCGAAGCACACTTGACGAATGTTTTTTTCAATCATATACGATTAAAAAAAGTCATCTAGTAATCATCGAAATTTATTGCTAAAAATAATTATGTTGGCAACACCATCGCCGCTTTGTTCACTTTGACAGTTATGGTGACATAAACTGTCAAATAGCTGCAATACCAACATCATTATTTTAAAAATAAATTTCATGGTCTACTAGACGACTTTTTTTCGATCGTATACTAGACTAAAGAAGAAGAACAGAAAAAGTAATCTGGACAAGAATATGAAAGAGAACGCGAATTAGAAAACGAAAGTAACAACAAGAATGGTAATTATAGAACGAGAATTAAAACGAAAATGTGAAGAAGGAAAAAGAAAATCGGAATGAGAATGTGGAGAACGAAAAATATAACAAACATTAGAATAAACAGGGAAGAGAAGAATAGTTGAACGAAATAGAGAGTGACGATGAAAAGAATAACGAGAATCAGAACGGCATAAAGAATGTTAATAGAGTAAGAACGCAAATCGAAAAAGAATCGAAACGTGATCGAGATTAAGAAGAGAATGGAAATGATCATGAGAAACAGAAATTAAAATAAATATTGTCAAGAAGAATGAAGAAAAGGGTAGGAACATGAATTAGAAATAGAATAAAACAGACACTAAAGAGAAGAAAGAAAACAAAAAGGATAAAAAAGAGAATGTCAGCTAGAACAAGAACTAGTGTACGAACTAGAACAGGATTGAGAATGAATATCGAAATAGAATATAGAAATGGAATCGAAACAAAAATTAAAATCAGAGCGAGAATGAGAAGAGAAATTAAAACAAAGACGAGAAAGAAATTGAGGACGATAAAGATATACGAGAATCAGAAACAACATAGAGAATGACAGGAGCATAATAATGGAAATGCGAATGAGAAACAAAAATTAGCACCAAATCAGAACGAGAAATAGGATGAGAATTAGAGTAGAATACGGAAGCAAGAAGAGAATGAAAACTAGAAGATGAACGAAACGAAACGCCAGTTAGATTAACAAGAAGAAGAAGAAGAAGAAAAATCAGACAACAATGTCAAGAAGAATGAAGAAGAAAACGCACAACGAAAATTTCAACCAGAACAACAACTAGAATACCAACGAGAACAAGATTGAGAAGGCGAATTGAAACAACGCAGAGATGGGAGAATGAGAACAATGATAGGAAAAACGAGAATCAGAACAGCATAAAGAATGTCAATAGAGTGAGAACACAAATGAGAGAATCAAAACGTGATCAAGAGTAAATTAGAGAATAGATGTGACCCTGAAAAGCAGAAATTAAAACAAAATAAAAACAAGAAATAGAATGGGTATTAGAGCGAAATGAGGAAGATAACGGCAAGGAGAGGCCAATTGGAACAAAAAGTAGAGAGAGAAAAGCGATGATAACAATTTCAAGAGCAATGAAGAAGAGAATAGGAACGAGAGAGAAAGGGAACACGAATTACAACAAAATAGACACTGAGGAGGAGAATGAAAATACCAATTATAACAAAAATGAGAAGGAAATTGAGGACGCTTAAGAAGAACGAGAAACAGACACAATGTAGAGAATGACAGGAGAATGAGAACGCAAATACAAAACACAGCGCGTTCGAGAATAAAGAGGAGAATAGAAATGAGAATCAGAATCCATAATTGGAAGGAGATTGAACAAAAATGTCAGAAAGAATTAAAAAGAAAATTGAAACGAGAGAAAGAGAGCACGTATTAGAATTAGAACGAAAAAGATACTGAGGAGAATGAAAACAAAGATAAGAACGAGAATGCCAAGTAAACCTAAAGAAGAATGAGATTTGAAGAAGATTGAGAATAAGAAGCCCAATAAAAAAAATGGGAATGAAATTGAGGACGATATAAAAGAACGAGAAACATAAACAATATAGAGAATAAAAGGAGAGTGAAGAAGACAATTTAAACTAGAAAATGAACGAAACCACCACCGAACGAAAATAACAAGAAGAGAGAAAACGAAAATCGAACAAAGATGTCAAGAAGATTTAAAATGAAAATAGGAATGAAAGAAAGAGCAAAAGAGTTAGGATTAGAACAAAATGAAAACGAAAAATAAATTGAGAATTAGAGTGAAATGGAGGAGGAAAGCAAAAACGAGAGAGGGAACGAAGTGGGAACAAGAACGGAAAGGAGACGCTAAATAGAGCAAAAAGGTCAAAGAGAACAGGGATGAGAACAACAATGTCAAGAAGAATGAAGAAGAGAATTGGAACGAGAGAGAAAGAGAACACGAAAAATTAGAACAAAATAGACATTGAGGAGGAGAATGAAAACAAGGATAACAACGAAAATGTACTAGAACAAATACTAGGATACCAACTAGAACAAAATTGAGAATGACAATCAAAACAAAATAAGGAGAACAGAAATGAAATCGAAATAAAATTCGAACCGAGCGCGAACGAGAATTAAAATGCGAATTATAACATAGATGGGAAGAAAATTGAAGACGATAAGAAAGAACGAGAAAGGGAAACAATATAGAGAATGACAGGAGAGTGAGAACCCAAATGAAAACCAGAGCGTGTTCGAGAACAAAGAGAAGAATGGAAATGAGAATCAGAAACTAGAATTGGAACCAAATTATCGCGAAAAATAAGACGAGAATTATAATGAAATGGAAAAAAGAAGACAATGAAAACTAGAAGATTAACGAAACGAGACGCCATTTTGAACAACAAAAAGACGAAGAACGAAATTAAACAAAAATATCAGAAAGAATTAAAAAGAAAATTGGAACGAAAGAAAGAGAACACGTATTAGAGTTTAGAACGAAATAGATGCTGAGTAGTAGAATGAAAACAAAGAGAAGAACGAGAATGCCAACTAAAACTACAGAAGAATTAGATTAGAAAGAGATTAAGAATAACAGTTGAAAGAGAATAAGGAAAAAAGGAAATCGAAAGGAATGGAATTGAAACGAAAATTCGAACCAGGGCGTGAACGAAAGTAAGAAGACAAAAAAAATGGGAATGAAATTGAGGACGATAAACATAAACAATATAGAGAATGACAAGAGAGTGAAAACGTAGATGAGAATCAGAAATAAGAATTGAAACCAAATCAGGTCGAGAAATTGGGTAAGAATTAGAACAGAATGGCGAAAGAAAAAGACAATTAACACTAAAAAATGAAGGAAACCACACGAATTAAAATAACAGGGAGGGAGAAAACGAAAATCGAACAAAAATGTCAAGAAGATTAAAAAATAAAATAAGAACGAGAGGAAGTGCACAAGAGTTCTATTAGAACAAAATGAAAACGAAAAATTAAATAAGAATTAGAATGACAATCGAAACAGACTAAGGAGAACAGAAATCGAATTGTAACAAAGAGGGGAAGGAAATTGAGGACGATAAGAAATAACGAGAAACAGAAACGATATGGAGAATGACAGGAGAATCAGAAACAAGAATTGGAACTAATTCAGAACGAGAAATAAGATGAGAATTCGAATGGAGTGGAGAAAAAAAGGAGACAACGAAAACTAGAAGATGGACGAAACGAGACACCATTTAGAATAAATAGAAGAAGAAAGAAATTGAACAAAAATGTCAGAAAGAATTAAGAAAAAAATTGGAACCAGAGAATGAAAACGCGAATTAGAACTAGAAAAAAAAGAATTGAAGAAGAGAATGAAAATTAAAATAAGAATGAGAATGACAATCGAAACAGAATAAGGAAGACAGAAATGTTATAGAAACGAAAATTTGCACCAGGGCGCGAACGAGAATGAGAAGGAGAATAAACAAATGGGAATGAAATTGAGGACGATAAAGAAGAACGAGAACGACAGGAGGGTGATAACGCGAATGAAAACCAGAACATGAGCGAGAATAAGAAATGATAATGAAAAACAAAAATCGAAACCAAAATAGAACGAGAAGCAAGATAAGAATTAGAGCAAAATGGAAAGGGAAGAAGACAATTAAAACTAGAAAATGAACGAAACGAGACACCATTTAGAATAAATAGGAGAAGAAGAAAGAAATTGAACAAAAATGTCAGAAAGAATTAAGAAGAAAATTGGAACCAGAGAATGAAAACGCGAATTAGAACTAGAAAAAAAAGATATTGAAGAGGAGAATGAAAATAAAAATAAGAATGAGAATGACAATCGAAACAGAATAAGGAAGACAGAAATGTTATTGAAACGAAAATTCGCACCAGAGCGCGAACGAGAATTAGAAGGAGAATAAAAAAATGGGAATGAAATTGAGGACGATAAAGAAGTACGAGAACGAGAAGAGGGTGAGAACGCGAATGAAAACCAGAACATGAGCGAGAATAAGAAATGATAATGAGAAACAAAAATTGAAACCAAAATAGGACGAGAAGCAAGAGGAGAATTAGAGCAAAATGGAAAAGGAAGAAGACAATTAAAACTAGAAAATGAACGAAACGAGACACCATTTAGAATAAATGGGAGAAGAAGAAAGAAATTGAACAAAAATGTCAGAAAGAATTAAGAAGAAAATTGGAACCAGAGAATGAAAACGCGAATTAGAACTAGAAAAAAAAGATATTGAAGAGGAGAATGAAAATTAAAATAAGAATGAGAATGACAATCGAAACAGAATAAGGAAGACAGAAATGTTATTGAAACGAAAATTCGCCCCAGGGCGCGAACGAGAATGAGAAGGAGAATAAAAAAAATGGGAATGAAATTGAGGACGATAAAGAAGAACGAGAACGACAAGAGGGTGAGAACGCGAATGAAAACCAGAACATGAGCGAGAATAAGAAATGATAATGAGAAACAAAAATTGAAATCAAAACAGGACGAGAAGCAAGATGAGAATTAGAGCAAAATGGAAAAGGAAGAAGACAATTAAAACTAGAAAATGAACGAAACGAGACACCATTTAGAATAAATAGGAGAAGAAGAAAGAAATTGAACAAAAATGTCAGAAAGAATTAAGAAGAAAATTGGAACCAGAGAATGAAAATGCGAATTAGAACTAGAAAAAAAAGGTATTGAAGAGGAGAATGAAAATAAAAATAAGAATGAGAATGACAATCGAAACGGAATAAGGGAGACAGAAATGTTATTGAAACGAAAATTCGCACCAGGGCGCGAACGAGAATGAGAAGGAGAATAAAAAAATGGGAATGAAATTGAGGACGATAAAGAAGAACGAGAACGACAAGAGGATGAGAGCGGGAATGAAAACCAGAAGAATATGAGTGAGAATAAGAAATGATAATGAGAAACAAAAATTGAAACCAAAATAGCACGAGAAGCAAGATGTGAATTAGAGCAAAATGGAAAAGGAAGAAGACAATTAAAACTAGAAAATGAACGAAACGAGACACCATTTAGAATAAATGGGAGAAGAAGAAAGAAATTGAACAAAAATGTCAGAAAGAATTAAGAAGAAAATTGGAACCAGAGAATGAAAACGCGAATTAGAACTAGAAAAAAAAGATATTGAAGAGGAAAATGAAAATAAAAATAAGAATGAGAATGACAATCGAAACAGAATAAGGAAGACAGAAATGTTATTGAAACGAAAATTCGCACCAGGGCGCGAACGAGAATGAGAAGGAGAATAAAAAAAATGGGAATGAAATTGAGGACGATAAAGAAGAACGAGAATGACAACCAGAACATGAGCGAGAATAAGAAATGATAATGAAAAACAAAAATTGAAACCAAAACAGGACGAGAAGTAAGATCAGAATTAGAGCAAAATGGGAAAGGAAGAAGACAATTAAAACTAGGAAATGAACGAAACGACACACGAATTAAAATAACAAAGAGAGAGAACGAAATCGAACAAAAAATGTGAAGAAGATTTAAGAAGAAAATACGAACGAGAGAAAGTGAATAAGAGTTAGAATTAGAACAAAATAGACCCCGAGGAGAAGAATAAAAGCAAAAATAGTGTCAACTAAAACTAAAAAAGAATGAGATTAAGACAAGATTAAGAACGACAATCTAAACAGAACAAGAACAGAAATGGAATTGAAACAAAAATTCGCACCAGGACGCAAACGAAAATCAGAAACAATATAAAGACGGACAGGAGAGTGAGAACGCAAATGAAAATTGGAACGTAATCGCGTGTAACGAGGATGGAAATAAGAATGAGAAACGTGAGTTAAAACAAAGTCAAAATGAGAATCTGAACGCAATGAAAATAGCAAAACTTCAATCAGGAAGGAAACGATAGCCAAATTGAGACGAAGAACCGGAACGAGAATGCAATTAAGACGAGATGGGGAACAAGAATGAGAGCAGAAAGAAGAAAAATGAAGTGGAAATCGACTTCACAATTGATAAAGAACAAGAAAATAAAAATTAAAACAAAATGGAGAAGGAGAATAATGTAAAAATGTATACAAGTGTTATAGGGACAACGGGAAAAAGAACTGGATTGAAACAGAAAAGACGATAAAATTTTGCTACTTTCACCTTTTTTTTTTCTGTCGTTTCAAAAAATATTTAAGGAAAATCTTGTGAAATTTTGTTACTCGTATCACGTGACCACAAACTGCCAATTTAGTACTTGTATGTAGAGCATCGAGCAATTCACATTGCTGTGGTGGGCTACGTTTCAAAGCTTAAAACTTCAAAGCAGTGTTTAAGGTATTTGGAGAGTAGTTACAATGTACCGAGTATATCGAACCAATGCTTGAGTAGCTCTTGAAATAACTCTAGACAATTATCCATTAAATGTTTAGTAAAATCGTAAAAGATGTTTGTTTATAAATGTTTTTGGTCGTTTCAGACTGGTCACGGGAAATACAGGCGAGGTGTACGCCAGGACGGGCTACCTGGGATTTTTGCGACGCACGGAAGGCACCCAATCCACCTGTCCGGCCGAAGAAACTATATTAGGTAGGGAAAGCGATACGGAATCGTTAGGCTCATCACAACACCTAGTCAGTTCAGATTCTCCAGAGTTGCACGACGCCGTGTTTGTCGTCGGCGCTCTGGACGAAACGATTATGCTGCGAGGGATGAGGTACCATCCCATAGACATCGAGAACAGCGTGCTCAGATGCCATAAGAAGATTGCCGAATGGTGGGTACCCATTTCTTGATAAATTGCCGCTTGAGTGATTAAATTTTGACTGTGTTTTTGGCGTTTCAGTGCTGTGTTCACTTGGACCAATTTGCTGGTGGTGGTCGTGGAGCTGGACGGCAACGAAAGCGAGGCCCTCGATCTCGTGCCGCTGGTGACGAACACCGTCTTAGAAGAACACCATTTGATCGTGGGGGTGGTGGTGGTGGTGGACCCCGGCGTGGTCCCCATAAACTCGCGCGGCGAAAAGCAGCGCATGCATTTACGCGATGGCTTCTTAGCTGACCAACTCGACCCCATTTATGTCGCTTACAATATGTAAAGATACGGTGTTACTAGTAGAATTTAACGAATGTGTTTGGAAGCATTCGCATGTTATTGTAAGCATATCTGCCATGAATTCGTGATTTTATAATTTTAGTATTTTAGATTTATGTTTTAGTATTATAATTTAGGACGGAAAAATATTTTGAAAAATTTTTACAAAATTCGATTCGGCTCAAGTTTCTAATAACGTCTGAACATTTTCACAGTAGATTTAGTGACAATGTGTAGATGTATATAATACAGCCTGCTCGGCTCTAATGTATAGTTTATTGTAATTTTAGACTGTACAGACAGGTCAGACTTTTGCTTTCACCTTGTGCAATACTTCTCTGTTTTAAATTCATCACTGTGTTTGTGATTTTCGTTTTATTTTCCTATTGTGATTATGTTTTTTAGTTTTAAGTTTATATGTACATATGGCATTCGATTCAACCATTATTTTATATTATTATACACATTAAAAGTGCGGATATAGTACTCTAGTCTCATTTTTTATATATTCGCCTGCTGCATTTTCCCTAACACTTCAGGTTGTAACGAAATTTCTTTTACAAAAATATGCGCTTTTTTTCTATTTTTATAACGCCACCTTTATCACTGTCTACGATCAATTTTGACGATCTTTTTGTGTTCAGTGCTGACAATTAAAATATTTATGCTTTGTTTTTACAATAGTACGCACCAATAATTCTGTGTCTACAGAACGTGACAATAGATTAATTTATGTACATATTACTGTAGTGTTGAAATTTATTATTCATTGTATTTGAGTACTTTTTGTTAAAAATATATTTACGGAAATTGTGGACACAGTCGCAAATAAACATTGAATGTACCTTTATAAAAACTTGTTTCCATATCCACACCTAAATCGGCAAAATTACGATACTTTCATTTTTTGTGTGACAAAATGATTGAAAATATAGAAACATTTAAGAATTAGCCAAAAACGAGTCCAGAAAATAAAAACTATACGAACTTTAATGTAAACATGTTATTTTAATGCTGGATTTTAATTTTCGTTATAACTCTCAAGGGAACTGTGATCATTATTAGTAGAGTGTCAACACAAATTAACACCTCGTGAACACGAAACCTTTTTGGTCATGAACATGATTCTCTCTGAAAATTAGCAATGCTGTAAATGTCGTGAATTCGAAGAGGGAAAAGGGATTTTATGCTGATTTTGGGTTACGTTGTGTTGTTCAATTTTAATAAGCAGAAAATTGACGAAAAATTCAGTAACCTTAAACATTTAATACTATTCTACAATGTTTAGCAAGTTAGCAGAGGTCAAGGCACAAGAAAGTTAATTTTACCCAAGAGCACAGAACAATCAGTTCTATTATGAAAAAGATTATGTAAGAAACGAACCAAAAACATATTTCGCCGTCCATGCAGTGATGTAAAATTAAATCTGTTCAAACACCGTCTTGTAAGTAAGCTGGGACTTCAAAATTTTCTTTGTACAGCCTCAATTTTCTTGCGATGGATTGCGTAGATGGGGTACCAAATAACTGCCCCGTGCTCCAGTCTTGATCTCACCAAAGAAAAAAATAATATGAGAAGAGTTCGCTGATTCACAAATTCTAAATACATTTTCTTGCCGATTTCTACCTCTAGAACTCACTTCCGGCCTCGTTTCTTTTCCCATTTCGTAGCGATTTTTTCGAAAATGTTGCTTCGTGACCATCAACATGCCATATTTTTGGAATCAGCTTGTCGAGATCTGCGTCTCTGATTTTTTTCATAATTCTTAGACAACTTTTTTAAAATTGAAATTTTTTTATTGTCCCCCCTTCTTCACATTTCGCAAAAATTTTGACATTTCCGAAACTCAACTAAATACATTTTCTTGTAGATTTCGACATTTAGAACTCAAATCCGGTATCAATTTTTTTGATACCTGCAACCGTTATGCCAGAATCGACCTTTGAAAAATCGAATTTTTTGAAATTTTCAAAAATTCCCATTTCGTAGCGATTTTTTCGAAAATGTTGCTTCGTGACCATCAACATGCTATATTTTTGGAATCAGCGTGTCGAGATCTACGTCTCTGAATTTTTTCATAGTTTTTAGACAACTTTTTTAAAATTGAAATTTTTTAATGGTCCCCCCTTCTTCAAATTTCGCAAAAATTTTGACATTTTCGAAACTCAACAAAAGACATTTTCTTGTAGATTACGAACTCTAGAACTCAAATCCGGCATCGATTTTTTGATACCGGCAACCGTTTTTCCAGAATCGACTTTTGAAATGTCGAAATTTTTGAAATTATCAAAAATTCGCATTTCCCAGCGATTTTTTCGAAAATGTTGCTTCATGACCATCAACATGCTATATTTTTGGAATCAGCGTGTCGAGATCTACGTCCATGAATATTTTCATAATTTTTAGACAACTTTTTTAAAATTGAAATTTTTTAATGGTCCCCCCTTCCTCAAATTTCGCAAAAATTTTGACATTTTCGAAACTCAACAAAAGACATTTTCTTGTAGATTACGAACTCTAGAACTCAAATCCGGCATCGATTTTTTGATACCGGCAACCGTTTTTCCAGAATCGACTTTTGAAATGTCGAAATTTTTGAAATTATCAAAAATTCGCATTTCCCAGCGATTTTTTCGAAAATGTTGCTTCATGACCATCAACATGCTATATTTTTGGAATCAGCGTGTCGAGATCTACGTCCATGAATATTTTCATAATTTTTAGACAACTTTTTTAAAATTGAAATTTTTTAATGGTCCCCCCTTCTTCACATTTCGCAAAAATTTTGACATTTTCGAATCTCACCAAAATACATTTTCTTGTAGATTACGAACTCTAGAACTCAAATCCGGCATCGATTTTTTGATACCTGCAACCGTTTTTCCAGAATCGACCTTTGAAATGTCGAAATTTTTGAAATTTTCAAAAATTCGCATTTCGCAGCGATTTTTTCGAAAATGTTGCTTCATGACCATCAACATGCTATATTTTTGGAATCAGCGTGTCGAGATCTACGTCCCTGAATATTTTAATAATTTTTAGACAACTTTTTAAAAAGTGAAATTTTTTAATGGTCTTCAAATTTCGCAAAAATTTTGACATTTTCGAAACTCAACAAAATATATTTTCTTGTAGATTACGAGCTCTAGAACTCAAACCCGGCCTCGGTTTTTTGATACCTGCAACCGTTTTTCCAGAATCGACCTTTGAAATGTCGAAATTTTTGAAATTTTCAAAAATTCCCATTTCGTAGCGATTTTTTCGAAAATGTTGCTTCGTGACCATCAACATGCTATATTTTTGGAATCAGCGTGTCGAGATCTACGTCTCTGAATTTTTTCATAATTTTTAGACAACTTTTTTAAAATTGAAATTTTTTAATGGTCCCCCCTTCTTCACATTTCGCAAAAAGTTTGACATTTCCGAAACTCAACGAAATACATTTTCTTGTAGATTTCGACCTTTAGAACTCAAATCCGGTATCGATTTTTTGATACCTGTAACCGTTTTGCCAGAATCGACCTTTGAAAAATCGAAATTTTTGAAATTTTCAAAAATTCCCATTTCGTAGCGATTTTTTCGAAAATGTTGCTTCGTGACCATCAACATGCTATATTTTTGGAATCAGCGTGTCGAGATCTACGTCTCTGAATTTTTTCATAATTTTTCGACAACTTTTTTAAAATTGAAATTTTTTTATGGTCCCCCCTTCTTCACATTTCGCAAAAATTTTGACATTTCCGAAACTCAACTAAATAAATTTTCTTGTAGATTTCGACCTCTAGAACTCCAATCCGGTATCGATTTTTTGATACCTGCAACCCTTTTGCCAGAATCGACCTTTGAAAAATCGAAATTTTTGAAATTTTCAAAAATTCCCATTTCGTAGCGATTTTTTCGAAAATGTTGCTTCGTGACCATCAACATGCTATATTTTTGGAATCAGCGTGCCGAGATCTACGTCTCTGAATTTTTTCATAATTTTTAGACAACTTTTTTAAAATTGAAATTTTTTAATTGTCCCCCCTTCTTCAAATTTCGCAAAAATTTTGACATTTTCGAAACTCAACAAAATACATTTTCTTGTAGATTACGAACTCTGGAACTCAAATGCGGCATCGATTTTTTGATACCTCCAACCGTTTTTCCAGAATCGACCTTTGAAATGCAGAAATTTTTGAAATTATCAAAAATTCGCATTTCGCAGCGATTTTTTCGAAAATGTTGCTCCATGACCATCAACATGCTATATTTTTGGAATCAGCATGTCGAGATCTACGTCCCTGAATATTTTCATAATTTTTAGACAACTTTTTTAAAATTGAAATTTTTTAATGGTCCCCCCTTCTTCAAATTTCGCAAAAATTTTGACATTTTCGAAACTCAACAAAAGACATTTTCTTGTAGATTACGAACTCTAGAACTCAAATCCGGCATCGATTTTTTGATACCGGCAACCGTTTTTCCAGAATCGACTTTTGAAATGTCGAAATTTTTGAAATTATCAAAAATTCGCATTTCCCAGCGATTTTTTCGAAAATGTTGCTTCATGACCATCAACATGCGATATTTTTGGAATCAGCGTGTCGAGATCTACGTCCCTGAATATTTTCATAATTTTTAGACAACTTTTTTAAAATTGAAATTTTTTAATGGTCCCCCCTTCTTCAAATTTCGCAAAAATTTTGACATTTTCGAAACTCAACAAAAGACATTTTCTTGTAGATTACGAACTCTAGAACTCAAATCCGGCATCGATTTTTTGATACCGGCAACCGTTTTTCCAGAATCGACTTTTGAAATGTCGAAATTTTTGAAATTATCAAAAATTCGCATTTCCCAGCGATTTTTTCGAAAATGTTGCTTCATGACCATCAACATGCTATATTTTTGGAATCAGCGTGTCGAGATCTACGTCCATGAATCTTTTCATAATTTTTAGACAACTTTTTTAAAATTGAAATTTTTTAATGGTCCCCCTTCTTCACATTTCGCAAAAATTTTGACATTTTCGAATCTCAACAAAATACATTTTCTTGTAGATTACGAACTCTAGAACTCAAATCCGGCATCGATTTTTTGATACCTGCAACCGTTTTTCCAGAATCGACCTTTGAAATGTCGAAATTTTTGAAATTTTCAAAAATTCGCATTTCGCAGCGATTTTTTCGAAAATGTTGCTTCATGACCATCAACATGCTATATTTTTGGAATCAGCGTGTCGAGATCTACGTCCCTGAATATTTTAATAATTTTTAGACAACTTTTTAAAAAGTGAAATTTTTTAATGGTCTTCAAATTTCGCAAAAATTTTGACATTTTCGAAACTCAACAAAATATATTTTCTTGTAGATTACGAGCTCTAGAACTCAAACCCGGCCTCGGTTTTTTGATACCTGCAACCGTTTTTCCAGAATCGACCTTTGAAATGTCGAAATTTTTGAAATTTTCAGAAATTCGCATTTCGCAGCGATTTTTTCGAAAATGTTGCTTCGTGACCATCAACATGCTATATTTTTGGAATCAGCGTGTCGAGATCTACGTCTCTGAATTTTTTCATAATTTTTAGACAACCTTTTTAAAATTGAAATTTTTCAATGGTCCCCCCTTCTTCAAGTTTCGCAAAAATTTTGACACTTCCGAAACTCAACTAAATACATTTTCTTGTAGATTTCGACCTCCAGAACTCAAATCCGGCATCGATTTTTTGATACCTGCAACCGTTTTTCCAGAATCGACCTTTGAAATGCAGAAATTTTTGAAATTATCAAAAATTCGCATTTCGCAGCGATTTTTTCGAAAATGTTGCTCCATGACCATCAACATGCTATATTTTTGGAATTAGCGTATCGAGAT